CGCTATAATTATATCCGGAAACAGTAGCGGACAGAGGTTCATTAGGGGGTTAAGTATCTGAGCGTGTCATCGTCGATCCTATGAACCGAACGAGTACGATCTATCCGTATAAATTACTAAATAACACGTGACATACGCGCCACTTAACTAGACAAAGAAGGGATTCATTTTTAATTTCTGTACAATCGATTCGTGGGCGGAGTCGCGACCCAATTCGCGAGCCTATTCACAATTCCTGTAGGATCCGTAGAACAGGGCTAACAATATCATCGCCACTATCATCGTCGTTTAACGATAAACGAAACTTGGGACAAAGAAAGAGAAAAGGAAGCGACAGGTGTCGCAAAATCGGAACGTCGTCGAGTCGATACGAATCCGTCGATCGTTCGAGGCTGTTCGCGGTGGCTCGTGACACGCATCTCCGTGAGGTACATATCTCTAACTTCGTCCACTCGAGAAAAGACGGGGCTAGGCTGAAGGAAGCCAACGGTCCGTTCGATCGACGACAAAACTCTCTTCCGACGAGAGAGTACAAATGAAATCAACGCTCTCTTCTCACTGGCAGCGCCACAGAGGAATCCACCGACCCAGAAAACTCGGGACAACTCTATTCACTACGGCGCGTGCCCTTCGATTATTAGATTCCCGGAAGCCGTCGCTCGGACATCGCGAACAGGCCGGGGTGTCGTCGACCGTGTGAACCGTGTTCGGCTACGCCTGCGATCGATCTCTCGTCGACGCTGCGCGAATCTTTGGTTTACTCCCCCCTAGCCACCTCCCAACCCTCCCCGGCACAATGACCTCGCGGTGGTCGTCCTCGCGCAACCAATTAGGACTGGCAACTGGCGAAGCCTGGCTACGCGGCGAGCAGTGTCATTTGGGAGTCCCCCGAACCAGTGCGAAATATTCACAAAATGGGCCATCTGAATGTTTTCTATCAGTAAATGAGTCTCAATGGAGATTTAAAGAGAGAAGTAGTCTGCCATTCGTTGCGAGTATCTATCACTGATTCGAGATACTCCTAAAATGTTCGAGTCCGCGAATCTCGGCTGGTCGAGATGGTTGCTTGGCGCGTTTCGCTAAATAATTTCTCTTACACCTGGCAGGGTTGACTGAATACAACTTTTCTCATTTCACGATGCGCATGTAGATCCTGTATCGGTCACACAGCTACCCGAGTACGTAGAAACGATAGCCGATCGGCTGTTATCACAGGCGGAATCGGGGAGCCAGCTCGCCTCGTGACGCACCAGATAAGTGCGATCTTTGCGGACACCTTAACGAAGTCCTGGGGATGATTCTCTTAGCAGAGGATAAAAAAGAAAAGAATCCTAACAACTTACTCAGCAAAGCGTGTACAAGACGCTTTTCGTGGAGGACCTCTCTGTCCAGCTTATTTCTTTCAGTGTATTCTGCCGCTCAATCCCCAAGACTTCGCCGAGTTCTCCGACGAGAACGAAGTTGGCGCGCTGAGACCGAACAAACGAGTCGATCCATCCTCAAAGCTAGCCAACCGAGGGTCGCGGAGTCGAAAGAGATCCCCCGAACCAACGCGGAATACTCGCAACTACCGCGGCAGTGAAATATCCATGAAATATTTCTTCGTGCGTCTCGCGCCGCCGCGAGCAACCGTCACGTTACATCGCTGAAAATTCATCCGGTGCCATGTATCCGCGGAATACGTCTCGATTTCAGTAACAAATATCAATTGAAATTTCCCGCATCAACGTGAAATAACGTGCACGCCGTATAGTGTGTCGCTGCGAATCGATTGCCGCGAAACACTCGCACACCGTTTCACCGGATCCTCGATGGGAGGAACTTTTCTGAACCGCGTAAACCGCTGCGAATCTATCACCGCGAAACATTCGCAGAACAGTTCCTTCGTATTATTAATAAGTTTCAGCGGAAAATCTCGCAAGTATCAAACTGTTTGCGAGATGTTCATTTTCAGCGGGAGATTCGTCGCATCGGAATAAACAGACGCACGCAAGTAGCAGTGTGCCTTATAGACCGCTGCGAACGTATTGAGTTCGGTTTGGGAGATGCTCGACGGACCTCGCGAGTAATCTCAGCCCGTGAACGTCGGTAGCGATGCACCACCCTGGCTAAGTAACGCATCGCAGACGAACGTTCTCGGGCGAGGATGTTCGGAACCTGGAGACGCGGGCTGGGGCGCTGGAGGTGACGCAGCGTCGGCCGGTTGGCGAGACGGAGGGTCGACGTTGCCGCGAACGACTGGTCAGTTCGTTCAGCAATCGTTTAGCGACGTAACGCGTCGTCGATCACAGTACTATCCTCGAGTTGTGGCTATCGTGAGAGGATCCGTGAGATCCATGGGATCCGTGGGATCCATGGGATCCATGGGAGCCGCGGGATCCGTTATTGTGCTGTTGTCCCTGCAATTGATGGCTGTGCTGCTGCTGCTGCTGTTGCTGCTGCTGTTGTTGTTGCTGTTGCTGCTGTTGTTGGTCACCACTAGTACTACTGCTACTACCACCACCACCAGTACAAACAACACCACTACCGACACTAGCACCAGCCACGGAGTTCAGCGGGTGACTGCTGACGCCTGCCTGATGACCGCCAGCAAGCACCGGACCTCCGTACTTTCGTTGCAGTGCCGAGTAAAGAGTGTTCACCGTTTGAAACATGTCGTTCAGCTGTTTCATCTTATTCGTGTTCTCGATGTTGTTGCTTTGCAGGCTGTTTGTCTTGCTGGAGCTCCTGCTGCCCGATGCGGAGATCCGTAGACCGGTGGTGGAGGATGGTGGCGCCGCGGCAGGTGGCACCGAGGGCAACGCGTTGTCATTGCTGCTGGCTGTCTTTTCTGGTGGTTTCGGCAGTCTGCGCCGCAACCAACCGTGCTTTAACGCCTTGCTGGGTGTCATCCTCTGCTCCGGATCCCATTCCAGACAACGGTGTATGAAGTCTAGGAAATACGGGTCGTCGCAGTTCTTCAGGATTCGACGCAGATCCCGGCTGCCAGGTGGGCCTCGGCGTTTACCCTTGCGCGAGTAACCGCCACTCAATACGATGGAACCGTCGGACATCGTGGTCCCGGTGCAGTAGCGCGGATAACCCTTCGAGTTAATAAAGTCTCTGGATCGTTTTGCGGATTCGAGTAGCCGCGGCGGCGGCATGCCCAGCAGCTCGATTATACAGGCGAACTGGTCCGCCTCCTCTTCGCCCGGCAACAACGGGAATCCGGTGACCAACTCCGCGATTATGCAGCCCAGGCTCCACATGTCAATCGGCATGCCGTACTTCGCGCCAAGGATTACCTCCGGCGCCCGGTAGAATCGACTCTGTATGTAGGTGTAGACGCGCTGATTCTCGTAGCAGCTTGAACCAAAATCTATCACCTGGAACACAAACGGTTTGAAATGATTTATTATTCTGTGCGAACACGATATTTTTGCTGGTGATCTTTCAGTTGAAATTATCAACTATTCTTAAGTGTCTAATTTGGGGACATTTTTTAGCGGAAACAATGCTTTCCTAGAAGTTTTCGTTTTTAACAAACTCTACACTATGTACGAAAACACAATAAAATAACAGATTATACTAAAATCTCGAAAGCTCGTTCTTCTCGAGGTATAGTGTAGCAGAACCTTGAACACACATAATTAATAGTTTATATAAGCATCCAAAGCCGATGATGCGCGTTTGAAAATAGCACGAAAGATTTCAGCAATTCTCATCTCCGATTCATGTCTGTCCATCTTGCAACGTGTCCGAGCGATACATCCTTGACGACGCTTATTTAATACAACCCAAATTAACCGAACCGTAAATTATCTCCACGATTAAGCCAATTATTAAACGAGATATCGCAACCGGCATTAAAGCAAATTGCGCTAGTGTCAATATTTGCTCGCAGTCGGAGCGAATAAAATTATGACGGATCGTTGAGAGTCACGCTAGCCATTGTCTAGGAAGCACGCGAAAGCACACAACTAATTTCAAATTTAATTTTCTCGGCGAGGAGGAGATCGTTAATCGTTCTTTTTCTTTTATTACTAGGAACTCGTTCTTCGTTTACGGAGCTCTTGATATTTATTTCCGAGAGGCTCGCGAGTTCTCGTAAGAAATCGGCGACGATCTACATTAGTGACCGCCTAGAGGGAACGTGGCGGCGCGTCTGAATATTATCCCGACGGGGACACGAAAAGTTAACCGTTTCTTATTTTATTACACGGCGTAAACTTGTTACCAGGGGGACAGCGCCGTTTCAACAGTTTCCGAGCGATTCCGAGAGACCGCTTCCACTGACGGAATAGTATATTATTTGCTCGAGTTGGATACGAGAAATCTCGGATATACAACCGTCTGAAGTGTATCATGAATAACGTACGTGGTCCGCATGAAACGAGACCGGTGTATCCTTTACGGCGCATTTGGCAACGAAACGTGACAAAATAATACGCCTCTCCAGCGGGAATCCGCCGCTGATAAATGCTTTCAACTGTACGCAGAAATCGGTTACCCGAGTTCTTACGCTTTAAAGCGTTAAACAATCGTTATCGCCAGCACGTTCGCGCAAACTGACAACGAAAACCGCGAACGTCCACGAGAAATCACGTAAAATGTGACCCACATGCTGCAAACACGAGTTACGCGTGTTCAATGTTGCATTTTTCCTTTGTGTACGCGCAAATTGCAAACGTTATTCCGATCATATTTTTGTTTATTTGTTTCGTGAATATTCTTGTATAATTCTATAATTATTAAAAAAGGAACTTGGATTCAATAACTGATTATCGATAATTCATAATGTAAAACAATCTGTAAATTTCAATGAAATCGAGCGAGTCGTGCGTAATTTTTATTTCAATTAAATTTCAATTTTCTCTGGATTATTTAAAGGATTCGAGGTTGATATATGAACAGGGCAGCGTTGCACTGAATGGAAGTTTCGAAGTGAAATTCATAATTTGGTTTGGAATGAAAACGGGTGGAAAATTCGGGGATCATTTTCCCCTGGCCGGAATTTATTAACACGTTAACGCGAACGAGTGCGAGATAGAGGATCAACTAAGCAGTGGATAATTTTGTGCAATCGTCTCCGTTTCGCACCGGCCTAGTTTAATATTTCGGGCAACATCGAGTGGCTCACGTGTAGCCAACAAAAACGCCACGTTGGAATTTGTCCAGGGTTATAGTGGTTCACCTAGTTATTGGCAAACCAACGTCTATGTAGAGTTCAATAAGCTATAATATTATCGAAGCTTGACTGACGAACTTCTACTCCCTTAATCTATTGTTTCTTTTTATGTTAACTAAGGTACTGAGAAACTTAATCATAATTGATCCTCATACATTATTTCCCTTGACAGATGTCAATAATAATAATTTAGGAATAATCTCAACAAACCAAAGAAATATCAGTAATTCATACAAAATAGAAATGAAATAAGTAAATTAGATGTGAAAAGTTCGAACGATCATGAACATTGTGGTAACTTGAATAATTGGTAATTTAGTATATTTTACTATATAAAATTATTCTAATTACCAGATTAGAATCATTGTAATTAATAAGTTAGAATAATTCTAATCGATCCATTAAAATTGCATCTTAATATTATTAATACTCTATTAATAATTTATTATTCTATACAATCATGAAACTATCACATTTGACGATTATAATTAATTGTCAGCAATGAAAACTAAAATAAATAATCTAGGTACTACACGAATTTTTGGACTCATTCTACAGGAAGCCACACGATCGATCGATTCGGAGGGGTGTTGCGGCGGAAGCGATCCGAAGGGCGCATTTTTCGACGGAAGTAGCCCAGCGTGGGGCGTCCCGGTTCCAACTAGGAAATGCCGCGGGTCGAATCTGGGTCTGCTGTCACGTTCACTGATCGTACGTCGCACTCAGCCGAGCTCTTACCGTGAAATTACTTTATGTAACAATGTAAACACGCTCGGGACATCCGGTTCTATACGATTCGCAAGCAGGCTACCTATATTATACCCCTTTCTATTATTGTACCTCTTTCATTTTTTCACGGACACTCAGCGTAGAAAAGGTTAACACGTTGAATGCCAGACAATTTTCGCATGTTCCGCTTGAAACTCCGGAGTTTACACGAAACGGAATTTCCATAACGGTCAAATACAATACGAAATTATTTAACTGTGTCAGAAGTTCTTTAATAATATAGCAATAACCACGAAACACGGCAAATACACCTGTGAAAGCATTACAATTAGTTGTAATCGATAAACTTGGATTAATCCTTTAATCGTTGACAAAAATGTCAGTAGAAATTAGTAAAAATATTGACAGAAATGTACTACCACAAAAAGGTGCACATTCATTTTCTAAACGCGCAATATAAATCGCAATACAAGAAACAATTTTAACCCTCAGCAACACAATCCTGTGTCCACACTTCTCCGGTTAACGAAACATACAAAAACAACCCCTACCAGATACAAACTCGACAATCAAACGGTTATACTTTGCGCCAAAAATCTTACGAAAAAAAGAAAAGAGAAAAAAACAAAGCGTAAATAGAATAATCAACAAAGAACAGCAAAAACGAAGAGCAACACAAAGAGCAAACCAAAGTAAACGTTGGTTTTCCCTACTCGCGGGGAATCAATTAGCGTCCATTAATTTATTCCCACCGCGGCAAATGAAATTACGGAACAATCGGCCGGGTCCGTCTTCGTTAATTACGTATCACGAGATCGCGACCCCGCGTTTAATGCGGATTTATTCGCCGTCGACGGTGCGGCCCCGTAATTACGCCAGGTCCTGTCGCGAATAATTATGAAAGCGCGTGCCTAGCGCGCGTGCGCGTGCGCGTCCCGTCTCGTTTCGCGAATGGGGTCAGGAACCACCCCCCTGACTCGGGGCTTGTTTTATCGGGTCGCGAAATGAGATACGCTCGAGAAGAAGAGCGAAGAGCGCTCAGGCTGCAGCGGGGGAAGGGGGTGAAAAATGTTTATTCGTGGTTTCGCTTTCGTTCCGGCGCCGGGACACGGGCGATAAAAAGAAGCTCATTCCCTTAATTGGAACGGCTGTTTAGCTTGCCGAGGTAACAGGTGGTGCCTGGCCGCCGCTACTTTATTCACACGAACACGCCGCGCCGGGCCTCGAGAAGATCGCTCGTTCGAGACTTTTCCTGAGGCCGTTTTCCTCCCTCGTTCTTGATCACGACGACAATGCGGCAACGTGCTCTAACACCGCGTTCAACGAATTACCCCTTCAACTTCAACCCCTTGTCCTGCGATTTTCTCCCACAGCTGCGTTCGATGGAACTGTTTCATCAGCAATTAGAAAAAAGAAAATTCTAAGCTTCTCGTGTACATTTACTGCAATCATTAGGAATTGATAATAGGAAGATAATGTTTCATTTTGATTTAATTGGATAGAATGGAAAGTCTATTTGGTAATTTATAAATTTCTGTTATTACTGGAAATTGAGGGTTTTGGTTGTAAAGAATATTTGTGATTTATATCCCTTAAAACTGGATGTGGCGATAAATGAGGAAGGTGTGTGTTAGCGGTACTGATTGCGAGTTATAGTATTTGTTTTTAATTTATACTCTAAGAAATAAGCTATAATAATTAATAATAACGAAGATATGATTTGGGGTCCTCGAATGGCGTTATTTTGATTTTGTGGATCGAAATTCATTAGAATATTCACTAAAAATTGTGTGAATAAAGATTAATTCACGTGTGTTTGATTTTCGAATGTAGAAGCTTTTGGAAAAATGATTACAACGTTTCAACAACATTGTAGCCAGCTTCAGTGAGGGATCGACTGGCAAGCTGACACTGGCGTGCGCTACGCGATGGTTTATTATTAAAGTCTACCCTGCTTGTATTCCAGTTCAATAGCCACCAATCGGAGAGTTTTCATTCGTTAGCTGACCTCAATAATGATAACTGCATGACATCGAGCTGTAAGCTTCAAATTTTGTATACCGCTGTCAATATTTTTGCTTTATGAACAGCTTTGTTCACGTAACTATTTATGGAAATATATGGAAATATTATAAAATAAATCCTCTTAATGGAAAATACAAAAATTCACATATATTTGTAAAACATGTTTAACATAGCTTTGCAATTCAATCAGAAACTGAACACATATAAATCACAGTTTAATGGAAATTTATTAACCATATAATTCTCGTTGATATTACTGGTAATCGTGCATTGCAGATAATATACATCTATTATAAAATATAAAATATTGATATTTGAAAGCTTAAAAACATACTCACCGAGAATCTCGCCAAAGTTCGAACTTTCAAAGTGAGAATTAAATAACAGAAACACATTACATTATCTGCAAACATTAACAAATGCGCTATTCGCTCTTTTCGTTTC